CACATTACAAATTAAACTAAACCCACCGAATTATTAAAGGATGAAAAACCTTTACTGATTTTAATGTCATTCTGCGGCCTCTTTGTTTTTGTTTTTTTTGTCAGATCCGTGAATTTCTTTTGCTAAGTGTCGAAAAAACATAGAAAATTCATTATTTTTTTATCCATAATGTCGAATGTGTTACAATTCTTCAACTTTTTAATAAGAAAAATCTCAAGTTGATACAAAAAATTGACGCAAAATATTGTTGATTTATTTAATATTCTATTATGACACATCTCTAATTTTTATTTAGATACATTGTATTTATTTTCAATTTTTATATTTAAATTTTTCAACTATATTGCATATAATCTATTATTATGCGTAATTAAGTTACAATAAAATTTATATTTTATATGAATACTACCTTATGCAAATTCAAATGTGGAGGAAACCGGGTCATAGATTCGAAGTGGGAGGCACGAGACCCTTACACTGGTTTTGATTGCATTAGTTTTAGCACAATTCTTGTAAATCTAATAAATAAATAGTGTTTAATATTTTTGTTGTAAATTCTCAAGAACAAAATATGTATAAATTCACTTTCACCATATCAGTCTATATCTCTGATACATAGTCTTTATTCACTGGATCATGTGTCCTTAAGGACATATGTGGATGAATTTTGAAAACATTTGGAATTTTTAGTTTTAGCTCGTTTGTTAAAAATATTCGTTATTCACACCGATTGTAGCTGGTCGTTTTCACTGGAGATCAAGTGCCAACAAGACTCTTCATTAATTTTACAGACGTTTGTTAAAAATATTAAGAAGGGTGACTTTTTTTTCTAGAGAAATCGGTTCTAAATGTCATCCGTATTCTTATGCATAACCCATTACTTAAAAATGTACTTATGAGGAAACAATTTACAAATAGAAACGTTTCTGACACATAGAGGACTTTCCGTGATTTGAAGAATCTCTCTAAATTTTCCAATCCTTCCTTTGGATACTTTTCGTACAGCCACTCAAGTCGACCCAGTTCGTGACATTCTTATTCTAAATTTGGCCCGTGTGGCGTGATATGAAGCAGGTCAGTTCGTGTTTATGTCATATCGTTTCTGTGCAATATGGTTAATGTCCTGGCTTGTAATTGAGACGAACTAAAACAACAAAAGCACAAAAGCAAAATTAAAAAAAAACATAAAGAAAAAAAAACGGAAAACAAGAAAGAAAAACAGGAACCTCTCCAGGATGTACTTAGAGAATCGCGAATTCATAATGACAAAGATATTTCATTCTCTTCCTATTTCCGTTCGCTCTATGTCATATTCACATAATCATATGTTACCAAGATTATTTCATAGACAAATATTTACTGCAATATCTCCAATTTTGAACCCCGTATATAGGGTATCTCAAAACAATATATACACACTGTTACAGTGAATATAGTTCAAGTGAACTTGCTTTCTTTTCAGATCTACATATTAGTATTAGTAATATCATCCAAGATTAGCTTCGAACAAAAATGCATCCAGAAATGCTACTGGAAGTACGAAAATGCCGTTGAAGTTCAAAGGTAGTCTGGATTAGAGTTTCATTCAGATCCACCCACGCAGCTTACAATTTCATAAATTTGAAATAAGTTTGAACCTGACGGTACTGTACATGATAGGCACAAGAACCTCTTCCGAAAGACCACGGGTATCACCTACGCTCTTTGAAGCAAGAAATGATGAAAAGCTTTCACAGAAGTCCAAGAAACCTATTGAAATAATGATTGCTGCTTGTGTTTTCATTACATCGTTCTGTCAACAATGTTTGGACCTTAACGGACATCAATTTAATAACATATGATAAACAAAATCTTACGAGCATATATTTGTAATAAATACTGTCTTCATATGCAGTATTTAAATTAGTTCCAGTTCTTGAGAAAGCTTGAAAATGGGTATACATTTTTGGAGTCAACCTATATATATTTATATACATATATATATACACATATATATATATATATATATATATGTGTGTGTGTGTGTGTGTGTGTGTGTGTGTGTGTGTGTGTGTGTGTGTGTGTGTGTGTGTGTGTGTGTGCAGCAAATTCTCTTTTAGGCGTGTCTGATTAAATAAATTACAGACATTATGTCTGCTTATTTTTAATAAAATTCCTTCATTCCTTTTTCATTTCCCAAGTACTTTCGGTATTCTTCCGAGATCATCTTCAGGGGTGTACGTACTAATACAAAACTGTGTGTTGTTCACGGGTGCAAGTAGTAATACAAAACTATTTTTTGGTATCCATTACTGTAAGTTTTCTTTTAGCTTTCAAATGCAATGGTTGACAATTATACTGAGCGTTCACTACTAATGGGAAAAAAAATATATCCACTATGGAATGTTTTCTTCTCTGTTGTAATGTCCTGGTCATGCGCGCAGAAAAACTGTTCTTTTTATAGACATTTCACAACATTACTACAGTATTCGTAGTTGATTCTATTTATATGACGGTTTTAATTTTTTAATGTATATTGCTTCGAGGATCTGTAGTTTGAATGTGTTGTTTTCTTGGTGTAGGATAGTTGTGTTGCCGATTAGTATTTTTCTATACTGTGAATATGGATAGGAATGATGGTGTAAATGTCTTGCAATGGACAAATGGTCAGACATATGTAGAGTAAGTCGTCTTGATAATGTAGTTGTTGTATGTCCAACATACATATTTCTTTTTCTGTCGGAGATACTTTCTGCCAAGAGACATTTGAATTGATATATAATGTTGGTTTTAAGTAATACATCAGCTGGTGAGGAGGAGTTATTGCGAATAATTAAAATTGGTTCTATTGTATTTTTATAATATAGGATTAATTTTAATTTTTATTAGGATTCATGGAAGATATATTAGTAAGAATTAAATTTTTTAATGATTTTTCATCCTGATTGTAGTTAGCCTGCATCTGGTTACAGTATAAAAGTTTGATATATTTAGGGTCCTTTGAGAAAGTACCATGTTCTATTTGACGTGTGTTGAGGTTTTTGATAAATCGTCTTATTTGTTCATCTACAATGTGGTTTGGGAAGTCAGTATTAATGAGAGTCTGCTTAATCTTTTTAGTTGAGTGTATAAATTCTTTTTTTGTGGAGGAGTTAATTTGTGCTTGGTTAATTAAATTCTGCATAAGTGCTATTTTGTAGTAATTAGGACATTCACTCTTATAGTTGAGAGTGAAAGAGGTTTTGCTGGTTGTTTTTTATTTGGGGGTGTATTATTTGTATCTATTAAAATGTCAAGGAAAGGGATTTTTTTTATTTTTGTTAGGTTCGTATGTGAGCTTGAAGGCAGAGCTTTTTTAAAAGTTTTTTGAGTTCCATTATTTCTTCTATGTTTTTAACTAAAATAAGAATATCATCTACATATTTTAGGTTGATGAAGGTTTTCTTTGTGATGCTAACTATATTATTTTCTAGGTTGGACATGTAGAAGTTCTGGTCCAAACTTCAGCAACTTCTTTCTTCGTAAAGACAAATCTACCAACTTAGTACAGTAAAGTGCTCGAAGGAAAAGTTTGCCCCAGGCGATCTATAGACAGCTTGAACGCTCAAGTTTTCTGAAGATCGGCTGAAGGTGAAACTTGTGTTTCGACGAGGGCTATCCTTATATATATATATATATATATATATATATATATATATATATATATATATATATATATATATATATATATATAACCAGACCTTTCTCTGGAGCTAAATGGTATAGCACGTCTGATCAAAAGGTGGTTTCCGTATAAGAATACAGGTTCGATTCTTGTTGGAGAACACATATATTCTACGAAATTTCTCGAACATATAAATGGTAATTGTAATTAATGCTGTTTACATAAAAACAAATCATTTACTTAAATAAATTGTATCTATAAAAATAACATATTAACAGAAAATGTATTAAATAATTGTCGGGCTTAAACCATTTCATAATATATATATATATATATATATATATATATATATATATATATATATATATATATTATATCAAATGTTATTTTTATTTTTGTGGATATCAGTATCTAAAATAGACCTCCAATTTCTATTTTAAACAGTGTGCATTACATCTATCGGTCTGCGCATTCGAGAAATTTTAATAATGATATGTGCTCTCTAGATTGAAAATAAATCCGTTAATTCTTTAGAAATTGCTTTGTTTACCTTTCGAATGCGAAACTGAGCAGGTATGGGCTTTCGATAAAAAATAATTTGAACGAGGAAATGTGATTTCCTTAAAATCGATTATTGGTTTCTTTGTCATGAAAGAACTCTCCAAGGTATTCGTTCCATTTCTTCGCTATTGTAAGTGTTCTATTTTCGGATTATACGTATCCTGTTGAAGAGCAAGTTTTCCGCTCTGCTGTTCCTTTTTATGTCTGTCTTGCTATATTCTGTAGTTTTTCTATTTCTGCACACTTTTATTCGAGTCACAAAAATCCGAAAGTGCCTTGTAATTGCGTAAGATGCCTTCCAAAAGCTAATTAAAGTATTAAGAAACAAGAAAAGTCTATTAGAAACTAAGAAAACCGTCTTTACCTGGGCTTGAATACCGACTCCATTTTCGTCGGGATATTCGTTAACCTCTCTTTAACCAAATAGGCCTTTGACAGTCTTAAGAATAGTTCTTCTAAATCAGAGATATTCAAGTGGTATAGAACTTCTGTTTGTGAGATCAAATTGTTATTGGTATGTATATGTTTTAAGGCATTTGTGATTGCATTTTTTTCTTGCAATACACTTGATTACAGGTGCCTAACAGCCATCTAGCCTTTCGATGTTTTCACGCACAAACCACGGGTGTCTAGCAAGAATGTGAAGGAACACTCAGAAGGGTTTAATCACTCCATCTACTGACTGCGGGCAGATTTTTTTCTTTTTTTCTTTTTTTTTTTTTTTTGTATTTTTGTTTTTTGTTCGTGAAGTATCAACCGTAGTGCGTGGGACAACATCAAAGTGACTGTCTCTTAGTCCACTCCTTTTTGTTTACACACACACACACACACACTCTCTCTCTCTCTTTCTCTCTCTCTCTCTCTCTCTCTCTCTCTCTCTCTCTCACCTTTCCCCGTTCCACTTTAACGTAATACTTTTGTTTATTGTCACTGCTTCTCTTTTATCATTCTTCGTTGGGATTTACCAGCTGTACACATGATTGCTTCTAGTGAAGGGTTCATATTAGAAGTCAAAGAATCTTGTTTTCAACATGAAAAAAATAAGAGCGAAAATTTTCTTTGACGCCTTTTTGCAGCACAGTTCCGTATTCTTCTTGATGGTGAGAGAAATGATTCTCTTTTGTTCTTGTTTTACTTTTTCGGATCCATCTTCAAGCTATTTTCCCTTTTCTTTTATTATGGATTCCTTCTTTATGGATTTTTCTTCTCAGCAATTTCTTCATTGTTCACTTTCTAATGTCTCCAATTTTTTCATCCTCCTCTTTTTTTGTTTTCTTCTTCTTCTTCTTCTTCTTCTTCTTCTTCTTCTTCTTCTTCTTCATTTCCGGTACAGTAGTCTTTCAATCCTTATTCTTTTTTGTCATTTCCAGTTCCTTCGCATTCCTTTTTTTCCATTTTTTACTTCTTCAGTTACTGCTCCATTTTCTTCTTCTTCTTCTTCTTCTTCTTCTTCTTCTTCTTCTTCTTCTTCTTCATTTCCTGTTCCCCGGTCCCGTTCCTCCTCCCACTTCTTCAATCTTTGACTCATTTATATTCTCTCCCCCACACCACTCATTAATATCCTCAATTGAGGTTTATTACCCTCTGCCTTCTGTTCTGTTCCATGGTGACGAAATTTCCGCAGGAATTGTAAATCTAATTACAAAGAGCGGATTGACGATTAAATGAAACGAGCCGTTACCCTCCGACACACACATTCGGATGTAAATTATCATAGTTCTACAACGACACACACACACAGAGTTTAGATGGATATATATTACTTGTTTCTGAATCTGCATCCACAGCTAAGTTATTATAAATATTCGTTTGCGCATGTTTGTGAAAGAAACTCCTTTCAAATGTCATTTTCTCTTTAAAGGCCAGATTAAAGTAAATATATATAGGAAGATTGTGTTACACCAATCATTCAAGTAGAGATAGCCTACATATCTTAAAAATCAATATTCTAAATCTTCACTTTTACATGGTACGAGCACCAGTGCAAAATATATATTTAGCAGAGTCTCCTTCTCTTATATATGCGATATATATATATATATATATATATATATATATATATTACATGAATCATTCATACAAAAAACAGATATAGAAGTTTATGTTTTTGTATGAATGATTCATGTAATGAAAATTGTACTGCACCACATACTTGGTATATATATATATATATATATATATATATATATATATATATATATATATATATATCTTCTTCTTCTCTATATACGCGAAACACTTTTGAAAACCCCAAAACGACATTCATAATAAATAAAATTTAAACTGCAACTCCAAATATGTGATTTATGCACTCAAATGCACAAAATGCAAGAAGTCATATATAGGTATCAGCCAACAACTAAACAACAGAATTTCCTTCCACAAAAGAAACATAAAATTACCAGACAAGAGAAAACTCTTTGTATCACAACACATAATAAATGAAACCTACAAAGACAAGAAAAAACTTCATAAAAAGTTTAAACTACCACTAAATAAATCATACCCCCACACACACGAAAACACACAACATGCACACATAATGGCCAAATACAGTGGTTGAACCAATAGCATGCATGCACACACTCTCACACGCGAGTATCTGTGGAGCACAAATATGTATACACATATTGGTAAAAACAATAGACTACTCGCAAGCACACACACAAACCCTACACAACATAGATAGCGTGTGTGTGTATGTAAATATGTATGTATATATGTGCGTATGTGTATGTATGTGTATATGTATGTATACTAATTCTTTATAATAAGACAGTATGTATGTATGGGAAGGGAATATGCGTATATATACGCATACTAATATATATATATATATATATATATATATAAAAACAAATACTGCTCAAAAAACAAAACCCTACACAGCATAGGAAGTGTGTGTGTGTGTGTATATACACATATATATATATATATATATATATATATATATATATGTATGTATATATATATATATATATATATATATATATGTGTGTGTGTATGTGTGTGTGTGTGTGTGTGTGTGTGTGTGTGTGTGTGTGTGTGTGTGTGTGTGTGCATACTAATTCCTTATAATAAGACAGCATGTATGTATGGAGAGGGAATATACGTATATATACGCATGCTAGCAAAAACACACATAACACAAAAAAATGGAATAGATCTAAGAACACACGGAGGTCATTAAAAAATAAGGATACAGATAGTTTTCTTCAGCCTTTCTCGGACCAATCTTAAATGTTTTATTATTCTTCCCGCAAATCTTTCTCACTGCCATTTCAAGAAAGACATTTGTGTCACCACCACACAAAAAAGAGAATGTTTAACATCAAGGATATTTAACATTGAAAACATGTGGAAAATTAATTCATTTTAATAATATGCGGAAATATCCACTCTTTGCCTGAAGAAGGTCACGAAACCGGAAACTCGTGTTGCAAAATTATTGAAAAAATAAAGCATAATATATATTTTTTTTTAAATCCACATTACAAACAAAAACGTTTCTCTCTTCTTTTTAACATATATATATATATATATATATATATATATATATATATATATATATATATATAGGAAAAATACTTTTTATTTTTTTTAATTTTTTTTTAGCTCGTCCTCACACCAAAATAAGGACAAAACTCCATATAAAAATATATCTGCATATCCTTCGTTTTTTAGTTATTAATTATGAAGTTTACGGTAGACTGTTAAATGAAATGTACAATCCAAGATACAATCCAAAGATACTTTTACAAAATTTCGGTGTGGGTTCCTGACGCCAAAAACAAGGTAAAATATCCATAGAAACATATGTCCAAAACGCCATCGTTGTATCTCAACACAGCATCTCATTAAAATGTCCTCCGCTTGCCTTTACACACACAAGTACCTATTGGACCACTGACTGGCGGACCCTTTGAAATACTCCCATACGGTGTCGAATGGTTTCGCAGGCCCTCATGAGACGCATGAAGAAGCGTCTCTGCATTACTAATGTCTGCTGCATATTTGAATGGTTTTAAGTGGCCCCATAGATAAAAATTCAAATGATTGAGGTCAGGGGAACGTGCAGTCCATGGAACTGATCCTCTCTTGTCTATCCATCTTTCATGGTGGATGTCAGCCAGTGCATCACAAACAATGTAATTAAAATGTGCTGGAGACCCATCGTGCATTATTAGCAGGGGTACATCCTCTAGCGTGTCTGGAATTGTGCTCGAAATGAAATGCCTGTAGACATCTCCTATAGGACGTTTTGGGAGAACATATGGACCTACCAGACAGTCACCTACAATTCCAACTACACACATTAATCGTAAAATGATGATGGTGTCTAACCTAGTATTGTACAATAGGGATTTCAATCCGTCCACAACTGTTGATTGTGTAAATGTCATTCCATCTCTTCTAAACGTTGCCTCACCTGTAAACAAGATTAAGCAGAGAAACAACGGATCGGCATTTTATGCAATAAAGGATCCGCAGAAGTTCTCCCGTGGTGAGTGATCAGAGGGTGAAAGACGCTGCAAACGTTGCATATAATACGGTTAAAGGAGCTGCTCTCGAAGTACCCTCCATGCGGTACTATGAGATGTACGATATGCTATAGAGCCACTCGACGTGTGCTGATACCTGGATCGTCACCGACAGTCTATAGAATATGTTCTTTGTGATCAGGCGTAGGGGCATCTCTCGGCTTTCGTGGTGCCACGAATCCTGTCTCAGCAACGCGACGATAAACAGCAGCAAAGTTTGGATGACTCGGCTGCCTTCTGTCTGGAAATGCATTTGATGCAGCCGTGCAGCCTCAAGTCCATAACCATTCGCGCGTGCGTATGTAAAATCATATCCGCTTGCTCATGATATGAATATCCTACCATTGTTAAATGGATCACTTCTCAGTTAACTCACTAATACATACGTTAAAAGAAGACAGACTAACCACATATGTACACTAATGACAAATAGCAACACGGCGCAATCTACCGTAAACTTTCTTTAAATTTAATAACTCAAAAACAAAGGATTTGGAATATATGTTTATATTTTTATATAACCTATATATATATATATATATATATATATATATATATATATAGAGAGAGAGAGAGAGAGAGAGAGAGAGAGTGATGAATACCGCGAAAGATTCACTAAAAATGTGCATACACGATGAAAAAAACATCCCAAAGTTGATAAAAAAAGTTTTATCGTCAGAATCTTTTGTTATCATTAGGAGGAAAGACCAAAATATTTTTTGACAAATAAATTATATTTTCTAATTCTTTTTCAGAACCTTCAAAATTTTGGTTAAACAAGCGCAGTTTAGTGATTTTTTCCAAACCCGCCGAACAAAGTCTACCTTAGTGGACAAAGGTACCTTAGTGGACTTGCCTACCCACACGGAGAACAAGAACCTTACTAATGAAATTAGTATGGTACACGGAAAGTCTGTAAAGGAGAATCAGGTAGATGTGCGAGGCACATACTACTGCCTTCCTATTTAAGGAAAGATTCCTTCGCGGCCATAGACGAACTGCGGCCTCTGCCTTCTCTTGCACCGTCGATCAATTCATTTCCAGCAAGAAATAGGGACCAAACGCCGAGTATTTTGATCGGCCCGTCCGTCCAGAGGAAAGGTCCGGGAAGAAAAATTCCCTTCTTGAATAGGTTGTCCTGAATAGTCCTGCTCTTCACGGCAAAAGTATCTTTGGAGCCATCAAGGCTAGAGAGGACAGCCTGCAAATGGCTGGCTAAGATCTTGCTTAAAATCTTTAACTCTGTGTTTAGCATCGTTAAAAGCCGAAAGTTACCAATTCCATCCCCACTGTTCTTGTCATTGCGTAACAACTTGATCACACCCCTGGTGAAGCGTTGAGGTATAGACTCCTGCTTCATCCAGTTGTTGTAAATCAGTGCTAACAAAAGCACAAAGACGAGCGACTGCCTCAAGTACACTTCGTAGGGTAGATCATCTAATCCCGGAGATTTGTCACGGCCAAACTGCTAATGCGCTTCCCAGATTTCCGACTCTGTGATGGAACTCTTGCACCCAGCCCCGCCTCAGCCGCCTTGAAAAGCCTCATATATGCCTGCGTTTGTAGTCACGTTCTGATTATCCGGCAATGCAACATATCAATGAGATGCATTCCTAACTTCCTCTGCACGGAATTCAGCGGCCATATTCATTGCCTCGGAAGATATTCTTTTTAACCTAGCCCTAACTACCAGATCTTGATCCTTCTTGATAAATAACGAGGACAACTCTGTCCTAGCTAAGATTACGTCCCCAATATCACGGGATTTACTCACCCGATCAACTTTTTGCTCACATGCGCCGACGACTATACTCAGCTACAAACAACCTATATTTTTTTATTGTAATTTTTTCCACCACATATTTCCAACAACAGCCTCAGTCAGTTCTCACTGTAGAATTAGTAGAGGCTGATCCCAGAAATATTGCTTATCAAATAATGACTTTAAATTAAATGAGATCAATTTCCAAGGCTTAGGCTTA